GCATGATACAAGAATGATGTTGACAAAAATGTTATACAGGATCTACAAATGAAATCTACCAAGGTAAACAAATAATAAACCAGAAGAGTGACTTGGATATGTAGATTTTAACTCAGAAAAGTGACCTGGATAATTTTTTTACCTTGGATTTACAAAAGAAATGTATTATATTATTTAATGAGAAAAGGAAAAGAGAGAAGCTATCAGCTTTTCCACCATTACCTAAAATAAATAATTAAGACCTTTAAAATGAAGGTTTACAAAGTTGGCTTATTCAATCAAGGTTAAACTATATATGATCTTTTTAAAATAGATTTTAATGGGTTTTCTTGACTAGGACTGAATGATGACATATTAAAGATTTGTTTATAGACAAATATAAGAAGTAGACTGTTTCACTGTATTTTTAGAGAAAGTGATAAATTATATTAAAATTGAGAGGAGATGAGAAGAAATGAATTTGTGGGACATCATTTGAAGGGATTAAAAATTAATATTTTTAATTTATTGTTTTAGTAGCTCTTAATGGATTTTTTATCTGAATGATTTAAAGATTTATTTAAAGGTACAAGATGAGGTGTGAAATATTTTCTTTCTTTGGACAAAATGACAAGATATTGTGTAAAGTATAGCCATTTCTAGGCAAAAGAGGTGGCATATGAATTTAATAAATATTATAAAGGGCTGAAATATATATATATTCCACTCTGGAATCTCTTAATGGACTTTTGCTGATTAAGATTGAAAGCCTTTATTATTTATTATAGATAAAACAGGAGATATGGGATGAAGAGATTTTTGACAGAAATGTTAGAAACAATGTTGAGTTATTGAAAATATTTTTATTTGTCTTTCTGAAGAGAGAAGATATTTCTATATTTCTTTTTGCTTTGTTTCCTTTTTTATACACTTTCCCTTTGCCCCTCTCCCTCTTCTCTTTCTTTTTTGCCTTTTTTCCCCTTTTTTCCCCTTTTTTAAATATTTTCAGCCCATCCAAGGGAAAAAGTGCTTGTTAGGAGACGTCAAGTTTCAAAAAGTGCAGTAAGAGATTATTTGAAGGCAAGCTGATGCCTTCAAAATGATTCGTGTGAGTTTTCCTACAAAAAAAATCCCTCCACATATTTGCAACCACATATTTAATATTGAAGAAATATCTAATATATGGCTTTTCCAAGAGGAGTAATTCTTTAGAGGTTTTTTTTTTTTTAATTTTGATTTATATGCCGCCCTTCTCCGGAAACTCAGGGCGGCTTACAATGTGCTAAGCAATAGCCTTCATCCTTTTGTATATTTATACAAAGTCAGCTTATTTCCCCCACATTATTTATTCCTTTATTCCCCCAAATTGGGTCCTCAATTTACCTACCTTAGAAAGGATGGAAGGCTGAGTCAACCTTGAGCCTGGCGAGATTCAAACCTGCAGTAATTGCAGGCAGCTGGTCTTAATAACAGGGTGCTTTAAACCACTGTACTACCAAGGCTCTAAATTTAAATGCAAGGTTTTTTGTTTCTGATAATTTACAGTCCTATACTTTATAATTGCTGGATTGCATTAATTTATTTTTTGGTGATTTTGATGACTATATTATTATAATGTTGTATTTTGTTTTACTGTAGAGAAACATTAGAACATAGCAGCATTAAACATTTGCAATTAGTAAATAAACTAAATCATGGCTCAATAGAAAACCTTTGTTTAGAACTGATTACTTACATTCTCCAACCTCATAGAAATCAATTTAACATGTTTATTATTTCCCTTTCCATAAAGGTACAAACTTTGTTATTGCAATGAACTATAGTTGAATTTCATTGCTTACTTTCATGTCTGAATGAAACCTATCGTTTCATAATTTTATGAATGAAATCAGGTTTTTAAATGACTGGGCAAAGAAAAAAGCAAGCATCTTTTAAACTATTAAAAACCATAATATTTTCCCCAATCGATACTTACTATTTTAAAAAATGGCATCAGTATGCTGAGGGTGTAATGTTATTGGTCAATGGACAAGGCATCCAATGGAAAAAGTCGAGATTAATATCTTAAAAAGGAGCATGGACATCTGTTTCTCTCCAAAACTTGTGCTCATAAACCGAAAGGGCAAATTTGTTCACCAGTCACAACTATTCTTCATTTTAGTATACTACATTCTGTAAAAGCGTATTAAGGGTAGTAATACCTTGTTTCCCCAAAAATAAGACCAGGTCTTATATTAATTTTTGCTCCAAAAGACGCATTAGGGCTTATTTTCTGGTTAGGTCTTATTTTGGGGGAAAATACGGTATTAAATGCATCTATTTGGCTGACAATTTTAACTGGGGCTTATTTTGGTGGGTAGGGTTTATATTACGAGCATCCTGAACAATCATGCTAGGACTTATTTTCCGGTTGGGTCTTATTTTCGGGGAAACATGACTGATCCCTCATAGTTTCTGCTCAACAGTTATTCTGACTTTAGGTGGCTAAAATTATTCAAATCTAGTCAGTTATTTTTAAATAAAATGTCAGCTTTATTACTATTTCACTGACTGACCAGCTTTGTAGAAATCCATTTTGTTTCATTTTTATTTATAATATAAATTAGTTTAAGATCACTTTTACTAAGGTACTTATATTTAATGTATAAATCAGACACCAGATCGATAGAAAGTAATGCAAAGGGAAAACACTACTGCCAGTGAAAGAGACAATTTGGAAAACAGTTTGCACATAAACCAAGATTTTGCTAAAGGCTTTGTCAAGCTAAAGGATTTGCTACAATGTTACTTTTTAATAACATTTTCTTTTTAATATTTTCTTCATATCATAATTCAATTCTCCTAATTACACTTTGCCACATAATAATTTAAAAAACAAAGCCAATTGAAAAAAGGGGACAAAGAACAGGTTTACAAGAAAAGGCAGCATATTTATTTTAAAAACACAAGGAAAAGAAATATTTGAAAAAATTTGTAGTCATTGCTGAAAAATACCTGAAAGAAGAGGAAAACTATCCCCATTGCAAATAAAATACTGCAAATAATTTCCACCTTATTTACTCATTTATTTTGGATCAATATGTGGACTATGTAGAATCCTTGGGGTATTGCTTTCTCTCCAGCTATAAAAATAACTCCCCAGAAATACTGCATTTAATACAGGTAAAGGTGCATAAGTTACTGTCATTATTCACTCAGTGGGTAAAGACTTTGATAAGAATAGGAAAAATACACATTCAGTTATAAATCATGCATTAAAGATTCTGTTAAGGATTGGAGTATCAACAAATTTATTTTCACAAAAATAACTATGTGCAATATATATTTAAAAGAAAAGTGAATACATTTAAATTTTCATCAAGTTATTTGTATTCATATTAAATTCAAGAATTGGAATGGAACAATTTATAATGGTGAATGAGTAAACTCAGTGACACTCTTATAAAAATGTAACTTAGGCAAGTAATGTGACCATAAAGTCAGGAAATATAAAGACTTCAACTGTGATTTATTTAACCTGATTAATTTAAACAGGCAAATTCATATTCCATGTTTTAAGCATTTTTTTCTGATCCTACATAAAAATAGTCTTGAAAAGAAATAAGATGACTAATTTATTACATGATTAACGTAGCTACTCTATCCTAGTTATAGAATAAAAACATATTGACTAATAAATTTGTTTCTTCTGTACTATAACATATAAGTATTAGAAGTTATTTAATGATTAGGTGCACTATGGCTCAGCAGGTGGCAGCACCTGGTTAAGAAAGTTAAACATGATCAAGCTTGGTTAATTCTTGACTAGGGAACTCCAAGGCTGTATGCTAGACTAGGATGCTGAGAAAATGTCCCAGAGATATGTAGTGGTAAACTACTTCCTGTATTGTTACAAAGAAAATAGCAGGGACGCATCCATGTGCTCATGAGGAAGTGAGCTCAATTTGAAGGTTTGTCTCTCTTTTAAGGTAAGGTATACATACTTCATTTAAATTTTATTACTCCTAGGTTCTATTTTTGAAAGAGAGAACCTAATAGTCCCTTGGTAATTCTTCACAACATTCCATCAGATTTACATATTAACTAAATGGATCCTTCAGTCTATCTTCCTGATTCTAGAGCCACATATAAAAAAATTTGAAAGATCACTGAAACACTCAAAACTCTACCCTTTCTTTTAAAAGTTTATTTTATATCCTCCTGCTTAATTTATTGGATTTTTCAAATCAGTCTGCTTTATCAGAACTCCAAAGAGAGATTTATTTCAGCACAATGTTCATTACTCTAACTACAAACATGGTATGTAGTTTATCTTCATTGTTTTAGTTTTTCAATAACAATGACATAATTCCTAATTCCTTTTCATCTCTACTGCATTTTCCCACAAAAATTACTATCACAAGTATGCATGTGTCACACATGCAAAGTTTAAAACAGGATTCTTTGGGGAGAATTGTTATACTAGATTTGTTTTAAGATGCTGACAGCAATTGCCAGAGCCAGAGTGCCGAAACATCTAAAGCTTGGCCTTTAATAATCACCAAAGTAATATAGCACTAGACTACGTCTGAGCAGGGACTCCCAATAGTGTCAGATTGTGTCAAACTGCAGGATTGTTATGGGATATGAGCAAATGTCCACACTTGTTTTACCCAATCAAATCTGAATTAGGCTCTAGATGTAAGTCTCCTGTGTATTAACCCATTGCCCTCCCTGTTATTACCACCACTACAGATCTTCACACTTGAAGGTTAATTTTAATTTGGCAATTTAAGTTGTTGTTTCCCATCTTTCTAGGTATTGTTCCACTCTCCCTTCTGATGATCCTTGTTTGAACTTTTACTCATGAGAAGTGGAAATGTACACAGCATGCAGACACAAAACGCACATGAATACAGAAATGGCACTGGTATTTGATTACAGAATAAGAGTTGAATTCTGTATATACTTGACTAATGAAACAAGCACATGTTTCTGGTGCAAACTCTAACCATAAATAAGAAACAGTAATAAAGTCCAACCTGTTTTAGCCATGCTTGGTATCCAGAAGATGTAAGTTGGAATCCATCTTTAGGCATGTGTATTCGTGGCTAGGAAAAAATAGACATAAGAGACCTCCTTTTATATTGGGACCTGGCTATTCTAAACTTTGTTCCAGGTGATAATAAACATCAAACATATATTCTGATATAATTTTCAAGTAAGGTATAAGTGCAAAATACAGTAATAGAACTATAATTACAAGGAAAAAAACCTTAACATTCTATAAAGGCTCCATCCCAATAGATTTATCAGTATAGTAGACTAAAATCTTTGGTAAAATATAATAAGGGACATACGACTCTCACCTCAACATACTCTGCATCTAATCTGATTTGGAGCAAACATTTTGATTCAGGTTACCCAATGAAACCACTTCAGGTTTTTTGCAACCCTTTAAGTCATTTTCTGCAGAGTACAAATGTAACTTTTTCCCCAAGCTGGCAGCGCCTGGATTGGCTGTGGCTGCATCGTACAGGTTATGAAAACTGATGTTCACATTGCTCTAAAATATGAAAATGTAGTACTTGCAAACTTTAACAATGCATTAGTGATGTTTGGATGTATGACATACGTGTTACTAGAATAAACAACAGCAATAGCACTTAAGACTTATATACTGCTCCACAGTGCTTTACAGCTGACTCTGAGCAGTTTACAATGTCAGCATATTACCCCACAACAATCTGGATCCTTATTTTACCAACCTCAGAAGGATGGAAGGCTGAGTCAACCTTGAGCCCTGTCAGGATCAAACTCCTGGCAGTGGGCAGAGTAAACCTGCAATATTGCATTCTAATCATTGCACCACCACCAAGTTAATAGAAGAATCTAATACACAGATATTTGGTATGGGGTGGGTAGGGAATGACTCAATGTCATATATATTTGTATCTGATGAAAGGGTGGACTGTGATAGATTGGGATACACGTTTCATCCTTTTTTTTTCCTCATCACACTTGGTAACTGATGCTTGAATGAATCTGTAGTACATAACAGGAAAGTATACTTCTTTGGGAAAAAAAGCCATAACTTTAATAAAATAACAATAGATTAATTGAAAAAGCCAACAGTCTTCTATATACTATTAGGAAAAGCAAAAAAAAACCCAATTCTTAAGGCAACTTTTCCCTATTCCATTTCTGTTTTATCCTATATTCTGGCAGGAACTATAAGTCTGAGTTTTTAAAAAGACTCTCATTCAGCGACTTCTCAACGGACTTTACACTGTCAATACAGAATTATCCCAGTGCTTGTTGGGAAAGCAAAGTCTTTAGTGCTTTTCAGAAGGCTAGGAGGGTAGAGGTCTGCTAAAATTCAGGGAGAAGTATGTACCATGTGGCATGGGGTGCCATGAAAGAGAGGTGCTTCCTAGCTGCCTTAGGGTGGCAATGTTTAAGGTAGGGGATCAAGTGCATGGCTACCCTAACTAATCTGATAGGGTGTGTAGATGTTCTTAGGGAAAGGTGGCCCTGCAGACAAGCTAGCTCTGGCCATATAGAATTTTAGAGGTAAAAACAGGCAACTTGTAAAACTAGGGGCACCCATTACTATGTTCACCACTGCATTCTGGACAAGTTGTAGCTTCTGGGTGATCTTCAAGGGCAGCCCCATGTAGAGCATACTGATGTTAAACTGCCATGGTATGTCAGTCAAAATCCATTTTGAGTCACTCATTTGTTTGATTTTAAAAAGCTCATCAGTTTCAGTATTGAGATCTGAACCAAATCAGGTTGATTCAATTCACATTTTCCAGATAATGTAGAAAAATTGCTTTTATACATGCACAGAAATTGTCTGAATCTCGTAAGTGTACCCACATATATCTGTACATATATCTGTGTCTAAGATACTTAAACAACATAAATAGGACCATGTCAGGAGATATTGTAACATGATCCTACTCCCTTAAGAAAAGCAGTAGAAAATGGACCAATAGCATTAATTTCATTTTAAAAGGAGATGACTGGACAAAGTTTGTTTTTAATTGTCAAGATTGTAACATTTCTTGCCTATGTTAAGAACTCAACACTCCCATGTATTTATTATAAAAGTAATACTGCTAACCAATGTTTTAAAAATCCCAAGATATCCTTTTTTATTATTTTATTTTTAAAAAGTTTTTTATTAATAATGCAAAATTAAAAAAACATTGGACATAGATATGACATCACTGGTTCCAAACATCTTCCGTCACTTTACAATAATATTAGTACTCATATAAGTACTCATATAGTTTTTAAACATACATTTATCTATAATAACATCTATATTTTTGTTCTAACACTATACATTTGTCTTGGCTACCCTCTTGTTATCTATCCAAATCATAAAACTGTTCCCATATTTTGTAGTACTTCGTTTCGCTTTTATCCTTGAGTTCCAAAGTGAGTCTGTCCATTTCTGCGCAATTAAAGACTTTCAGTAATATTTCCTCTTCAGTTGGAATATCTTTCTCTTTCCATTTTTGAGCGAAGGCTATCCATGCCGCTGTAAGTATATGCAGTAATAAATAATGTGTATCTTTCTTATATTTTCTTTCTATAATTCCCAGTAAGAAAAATTCCGGTTTGACTGCTATATTTGTTGACAAAATTTCTTCCAGTCAGTTCTTTAGTAAATTCCAAAATTTTTGCACCTTTGGGCATTCCCACCACATGTGGTAGTAATTCCCAATGGTCTCTCCACACTTCCAGCATATTGAGGATTTTCCCTTATTCATTCGTGCTAATCTTGGGGGGGGGAGAGGTGCCAAAAAATCCCAAGATTTCTTGACAACAATTCCTCAACCATGTCAACATAATTGTTTTGTGCAGAAATTGAAACACAACCTTTCTACACACATTTTACAAGCATGATTCCATTTATCATCAACACAATTCAGTGCATTATCCAGCTAAACTATCTTCAGCATTTCACTTTAACACTAAAATTCAAACGTTGTTTTGAATATTTTACCTGACTTTTAAGGTTGCCTTCTCAATGTTCTCCCTCCCAGTGTTATAAAGCCATTATCTCACTCTGATTTCATACCGGTCATCATTTTCCTGCAATCTTTAACGGATTTTTTGTTTTATTGCCTTCCTTTGCTCCTTCTTCCACAGTTAAGTTAATGGATCTGAGTAGTCTCTAGTGAGGTTTGAAAAGGCTGTTTTCTCAGAATGAGTCAATATTTTAAATTCTATGGAATGCATTTCTTTTTTTCTCCTAAAAAAACGCAGTTTTTAAAAGACAGACATTAAATTACAGGCCTCAGTTCCTATTTTCAAAGCCTAATACAACCCCTGAAGGCTTACAATATTTGAATCACAGCTGGAGCCATGGTTACCATACAGTTTAAATATCAGCTTCTTTACTGTGCAATTTGTTTTAAAAATCAGATCAGAGGTTGTGTCATAAACAAGTGCTAATTATGTAGCAAGAAAGAATAAGGCTTTTTGTGCAAGAAAGGTTCTTAAATATCTGCCTCTCCTCCATACATAAAAAGGAGAAATAAAGCAAGCTGAGAAAATTATGGAGCCAACTCTGGCATCACATATAGAGCAAAAAAAAAAAAAAAATGTGGCTGACATTAACCTTGCAGTGTTATTCCTTTGATATGAGAGTCAGGGGGCTACTGATTATGAAAAATTCCCTGCTTTAGGTGAACAATGTCAAATAAACACAGCAATATGATTTTGATCACATAATTCTTTAAGGAAGTCTAGTCCCATCCAGCAATCTTGCTTCAAGGCTCTCCATTTCAAAGCTACTGAATTCAGAACTGCAGCTTCCTTTTGGTACCATAGAACTACTGCTGGGATGGAAGAACATTTATTATTTTTATGTGGTCCTTCGCACAGACATATTTGTTAACAACAAGAGCACAGTAATTTATTATTATCCATTATTTGTTAAATTCATTTATGCTTAGCTAAATGCTTAGCTAAGAATAAATGAATTTTTAATACAGTTTTTACAAACACTTGTCACCGCTTCAGCATTGCCATTTAGTGAACAGGACTGATGTTTTTTCTCAGCAGGGGGTGATATTTTAATGATGCAATGCTGTACTTCCTAGAAGACAGACAAGCCTCATGAGGCAGATTATAGGACTACAGAAACTCTAATTCCATTAAAAGTAGACAGCACAAGACCATTTTTAAAATTAATTTTGTTTAATGATAAAAAGTATTATAACAGGTGGGTAGCCAATTGTAAAATTAACCAAAACATAGTTAAAGGAACAGAAAAACGCTAGGAAAGCAAGGGATGTTTTCATTATCAGTGTATTTAAGACTCGGTAGAAATATAGACACTGTTCTTTGCCTCCTCTTTCCTATCTACAAAGCATCCATGTTCTTTTTTAAGCTGCCCATTAGCCAATTGATACTTGACGACATAAGTGAAAGTTTCAATTTAGAGGTAATCTTGCAGAGTGATTTGTTTAATTACTGTTGTACTCCTATAAAATGTTTGAATATTTCCAAATGTAGTAATTATTTCTGGCATGAAAATAAGCAATAATATCTTCTATTAACTAACTTATGTGTTGCTTGTCCTACTTCTGTGGAGTGTATAAACGATTCTGCATGTTCCATCCCATTTTCCATTTGTTGGTGTCTTTAATTATATGGTTGTGACTGCCAATGATAAAAACTAGGTCTGAGAAAAAGTGAGAATTGGGTGGTATTGTTTGCATTTATTAAAATGGGAAATCTAAATGGCTGCCTCAGGTTCCCTAAAATTGTTTATTTAGTAATGTCTTATAAATATGTGAAAAGCTATGGATCTTAACTACACCAGTCAGGACAGGCTACATGGTCAAAAGGTAAAGATTAAGCTAAAAGGAATATTCTGTTCTGCAGCATATATATTATCATGTCCAATATCTGGAATGTTTAAGAAAATCCGTAAGAAAATCTCTGAAAGAATTATCTTTGACAAATGCCAAGTGCTTGATTCAATTCCCCACAAAGTGGACTTTATCAGTTATGAATGAAGGCGAATATACATGTCCCAGGATAATGTTTCAGGATCCAATCTGAGTCAGTCTCTCACATTCTAGTGAGAAAGAAGTTCCCTGAAGATGGGCTCCAGCATGGGTCCGAAAGCTCAGAAGATTAAATGTCCAGTCCCAGTGACTGCCCCAGATTGGCTTTGTTCCAGTTGTGCCTAGATTAGCTGTAGTTACAACAACCTTTTAAAAAACAGTCCCACATAGAGAAAATATGTTTTGCAAAGGTATCTAGAGAATGATTGGTTGCACAAGAAACAGAAGTACTTTTAATTAAGGTGGAAAACTAGCTGCATAACAATACAATATTACAATGCTTGAAATAATATATGAATGTTCACTCTGGTTCATTAAAACAAAAATAACACAACTCCATAGTTGGGCAATACTTGCTTGCAAGTAACCAACATTCCACAATTTCTCTGAGTTCTCACTACTTTTCAGCAGGCTAAAGATTCAAAACCCAAGGAAGAAAAAGCTGTGTCACAACCATGAGGTTTGCTGTTTAGATTTATCTTGGAGAGGTGACATATTATACAATTATTAGGAAACAATATTTTAGTGCCTAAGATTGAAGGGAGGGAGAGGAAGAGAGAAAAGGAGAGAAAATTGATTTTATACCTCAGTATCTGTTTCAAATTACACAGCATTTACTAGCAAAATAGCAAGCATAATCCCCTCCCTTCCCATTTCTGAAAACTGAACAGGTTCACTATAATTCAGATTTGTTTCTTACCTTATGTGATGTATAGAGCTTTCTGACTAGGATCAGACCTTTATTTTTCTTCTCCCAACCCTCTCTTTTTGTATCAGCTAGCCTGATGAAGAATTACAAAGTCAAAAGTTTGTACACTCTTATTCGCATTTTGCTTACCTCTAATAAAAGTATAAAATCCACCTCTTTTATAATTCTAATGCAAATTTACTTTGCAGTAACCTGTAACAAAAATACTCCCTTAATCTATCTATCTATCTGTCTGTCTGTCTGTCTGTCTGTCTGTCTGTCTGTCTGTCTGTCTATCTATCTATCTATCTATCTATCTATCTATCTATCCATCCATCCATCCATCCATCCAGCTATAAAACAAAATATAATGATATATTGGAATAAAGAAATAGAAGCATTCTCTCACAGATTCAGTCATAAAAAGACACAAGTAATCTTCCATCCTTTGCAAATAAAACAAAACATAAACTATTACTCTGGGATCACTGATCACTTTCCCATCCCACACAACAATGAACGTAAAGACTGCCCAAAGCATCTATGTGCTGATTTTCAAGAAGTCCAGACTTCTTCTTCCAGGTTCTTCATTCACACACAAAGAAAACTCTACAGATAGTCCTTAACTTACAACCACAATTGACCTCAAAATTTATGTTATTAAGCAAGACAGTTCTTAAGTGAGTTTTACTCCATTTTATGACCTTTTTGCCACACTTAAGCAAATCACTGAAGTTAAGTGAATCATTCAGTTAATTAAGCAAATCTGACTTTCCCCATTGACTTTGCTTGTCAGAAGCTGGCTGTGAAGGTTACGAACGGTGACCACATGACCTCAGGATAGTGCAACTCTCATAAGTACATGCTAATTGTCAAGTGCCCGAATTTTGAGCATGTGACCGTGGGGATGCTTCAACAAGCACGAAAACAGTGTGAAAACCAATCCTAAGTCACTTTTTCATTGTAAGTCTGAATGATCACCAAATAAATGGTTGTAAATCAAAGACTACCTGTATTACCTTCACTTTCCCTCAGTCTAATCTTGTGCTGTCTCTCTATTGCCTTTGCCTTCCCATCACTCCTACCTAGTCAAAAGGTTAGCATCCAGTATTGTTTTGATTTGCTTCTTAACAAGAACTATAATTTAGCACTAACTACTCATGAGAAATTATAGTGCTGCTGGCTGGTGAATAATTTGCCAAGGAAGACCCGCTTAGCCATATAAAATAAATATCCACCTGCATATACTAGCACTAATCAGGGCGTGAAATTAAGCTTTTCATTCAGTACAAACTAAATGCTGCAAGGCGGCGATTTAGTGGAAACAAATATTAAGGTCAACCTATTCTTCCTATTGCCTATATTATAGATGCTAAGAGAGGGCATGGAGCACTAATTCCACTTTTCTCAATCCAAGAAGCTAAATACTTCAATGATGTGTTAGCAAATTCACCATTTGCTTTTTACTAATTGCATATAGTTAATGAAGCGAATGAAACAAAAGCCTCCAAAACATTGTTAACTTGATCCCTACATTTCCTTTGTACTGTAGCTCAAATACAAGAATAAAAATCCATTTGCAAACCTTAGAACGAAGATACAAAACATTTATTATTTAAATTTTATATAAATTCTGAAAGAATAAGGAACCGATTTGTACAGTAGAACTGCAATGCACTGGAAAACATCCTTTCAGTTATGATGTAGGCAGCCAATTCTTGTACACAGCTGAAAAAGTTCCCTCCAAAACATAATTCCCCAAATGTGCAAGAGAACAATATATCTACGTGGACATAAACAAACATGGATCTGTCTACACTGAGTTTCCAGCAAGTGTTCCTAGAAATAACCAAGTAATATATGACATTTACTCATTCTCAAAGCACTGTGATACCCTAATGTTTGCTTTAGCACTACTGTCAGCCTATATTTACAACCTACTCTTTCCTAAAGTTTGCAGGAATAACCAAGTAGAGAACAAGAATGGTACTCCCATTAGAACTACAACTGTGGCATTTTACTATTTTTACTTGTAATCTAAATAAAATATTTCAAAATATTTTTAATCAGGTGAACAAATGTTAATAGAACATACAGACTGTTAATACATATGTATATGGACTATTAAGACAACTCTGATTATTAATCAAAGCATCTTATAGTTATCTACTTAATCAAATTATGATTGTCATGCAGCTTAAACCAATCTGGCACTTTAGCACTCACCTGGTCTATAGACTGCCAGAAATGAAGACAACAATATCACTCATTCTTTTTCTCCAATAGCCCAGTCTATTCTGGTCATGGAAAAGAAGAAATTCCACTTATATCCACCACACAAAATAAATAGAAAGGCTAGGTGCAACCATTCTGTTTTCTCAGTTTTTTATGAGTAAAAAACTAGAGAGCATTTATAAAAATAGTGGTATTTAACAATTGTAGACTTATCTATAGATAGCATAGCATAGCATTTAGACTTATATATCATTTTACAGTGCTTTACAGCCCTCTCTAAGTGGTTTACAGAGTCAGCATATTGCCCCCAACAATTTGGGTCTTCATTTTACTGACCTCGGAAAGATGGAAGGCTGAATCAACCTTGAGCCTGGTGAGATTCGAACTGCCAAATTGCAGTCAACCGGCAGTCAGCAGAAGTAGCTTGCAGTACTACACTGTAACCACTGTGCCACTATGCAGTGTAGTCTCTGTGATGTAGTCTCAATGTACACTGTGATGTAGTCTCAATGGCTCCAGATTAACTCAAGATGACAACTAATCAACCTAGCTATAGATACACAAACACTACTATCAGATGTGGTTTAATAACAGAGCACTAAAGCTGCACTAATGACAGAAATGGGTTAACTGCATCCTGCTTTGACCAGAATGCCATCCTAAAATAAGGACCATAGTACAGTATTCTCAAGACTGACAAACTAATCTGATGCCAGTAATTGACAACACAAGAAAGACTTGACTTATCAGCATGATAAACATCTAAATTTACCCTCTTCCAAAACTCAGAGATACCCACATCTAAATTATCACTGTGATACCTAATTTACAAATTAAAATCATATTCGACTGCTAGATTCTTCAAGAAATATTTTCCACTTTTTGAAGAAAGTGAGAAAAAAGAATCTAAGGATCCTTCATAAATTCATGAATTTAAAGTCTGTGAAATGGTAAAGGAGATAATAACCTCAAGAAAGATGCCATTGGGGATTTTAATAGAAATTCAAGAATTTTTGTTGTTAACTTGGTTACTTAAAAACCTTCAATTCAAAATAAAAAATGTGAAACCAAGAAGTATAATTCATGTCTTCCAATTAAATTATCCACAACTGTCTTTTTTAAAAAGGCATTCAAAATATGACAGAACTAAGACAAAAGAAATCTAATAATGAATTGCAAAGGTATTTTTAATTAGACATCTAAACAAATGTAGTTTAGCTATGTGCACTGCTAATTATGTAAAACCTGAAGTAGCTACTGGCCGATTCAAGAAAACAGATGTTGAATCACAGAACTTTGATATCATTCTTAAATACCTTTGAAAACAAGGATCAGAAAATATGAACTGTTATTTAAAAAAAAGGCTTTATTGTATTTTTATAGCATATTACATACCTTGTAAGAATCCGTTTGTTTGCATGAATGTCAGTTTTATTTTCTGTCCTTCCCTTTTTCCTGGCTATTTACAAGCTTTGTAAGAAATTGTTCTTTAATTAAGTCTAAGCATAGTTTTATATAAATGGATTCCTGGAATTAAAAACATTCAGACTTAAGAAATGATTGTTATAGAGACTGTAAGAGGCCGTAAAAAAAAGAATGCCACTTTAAACAAAGATTTCTCATTTTAATTAAAAAGATAATCATCACAACATTCCTACATTTAGCAAAACCATTTGAAGCTACTTTGGAAGAAAAAGAAATTCATTTTTGATGTAGTCACACATAGAGGACTTTAGAACTTTATTTACTCAAAATTCTGCCTATTCCTCTGTGCTTTTAAGAATCATGTATGCAATTTGAAATTTTTCTCAAAAATACACATTGGACATTAATCTCATCCATACTATCCTTGCAAATTACGGTGCAATTTATGTCAAAACAAATTTAAGGAACTGTTCTAGGTTTATGGATTTCTTAAATTAAATACTTCAACATAAAATATTTCAGATTAACTATGAAATGTTTATTGGATTTATAGTGTACATACTGAGCACAGCTGTTCTAAAATGTTAAGCATCCATCTTTAAAAAATACATTTAAGAAACCAATATGCACATGATCCTTACATACTGAAAGATGCATCCACTATAATTATTACAGCTGTATAATCCTTTAAAAATGCGCTCAAAGATGTTCAGGAACACATAAGAAGCATTTCTATTTGAATAATGAAAAATAATGGGAACCTTTTTTCCAAGTTTGCACAACTCTCTTAGAAGATGTTCCTGGCTTTCTTTGTATGCATGTATATGAAAAAATGCAAGCTAAAGGAAATATAAAATGAATGTTTGGATTAATAAGATTTGAGCAGAGATATAAAAACCCCATTCCTATCACTTTTTCAACATCGTTAAAAGGAGGAATTTGGATAAAGACCAAATGTGTAGGGAGGATTATATACGTAATAATGGAACCTAACTTTACATTCCTAACAATAAATAGACACCTGCCAAATAAAAACTATGCATAATGATCAAACAACGACAAAATACATTAATGGTTATTAGATATTTTTCATATATCCATCCATCTAGTTGGTAGGCAGATCTGAGAATATATTTTGGCTACAAATACAGAATCGTTGCCATAGCGGGCATTGCAGTCATAAAACATCAATTTGCCAAAAAGCAACCTGATGGCTGAGGTTGCTCCTTATCATTCCATTTAGTTCTTCAGGATAATATCTACCATCTTAACTTCTTTGAAGTTTTCAGTAAAAAAAAAAAAAAGTGGGCACAATTTCATGTGGAATATTGAGCTACACTTATCCCTTTTATTTTATGAGATTGCCTCTATAAAATGTGAAGCTCCATATTAATTTCCTGTGATTAAAAATGGTAAAAATGATGGAACTTGATG